GAGGCGGTCCCTGCTAATCTTGGAGGAAAGCTTCGCACTTCGTGGGTGCAAAGCAAAGCCAGAAGCAGCCGACAGCTAGTGCTAATCTGTCCAGCTCATCTTGGTACGTTTGTGAGCTATCATAGATGAAGGGTATATCGTTAGCATACTCCAAATTAAGAAGCCGTTCGCGTGGGAGCAAATCCATACCTTCTAAGTGGTGTCCTGTGAACGCTATCTCCATGACTTCGTCAATAACGAAGTTGAAGAGGAAGGGTGGCAGTGGGTTTGTCTCACACCGCTGGATATATTAAAGGAGGCGACAGCTTGCCGTAAGCTCACATTCTGCCCGAGCTACGTGATTAAGCGCTCGCACAATATGTATATACTTCTAGGGCACACCTTCCCTGCGTAGACAGTCCCAAAGGGCACATCGATCAACCGAATCGAAGGCATCTTTGATGTCGAGGAACACGACACCGGTGGGCCGCCAATGTATGTGACGGTGCTCCAACAACTGATACAAAGTGAAGATGTGGTCGATGCAGCCACGACGTCGACGAAACCTAGCCTGCTCTTCATGAATCCGGCTTCCACGAGTGCCAGTCACTATGTGAGGCAAACAATTTGGAGGCGATGGAGATCAAATTGATTCTTCTATGGTTACCGCATTTCAATAGTGAGCCTCCCTTGAAAATGGGGATTATGGTGGAGCGGCTCCAGTCGATTGAGACAGTTTTCTGCGCCGACAGTTTCACTTGAAACTAGTGTAAATCATCCACAAGAGCAGGTCCTCCGGATTTGAAGAGGGCTGGAGGAAGACCATCTGGTCCCGCGGCTTTATTCAACTTCAAGAGACCAATCTCACGTTCGACTTCTGAGCGAGAGGGCGGAACCAAAGGGACAGCCCACTGAGCGGAACGATCAGTGGCCGGCGAGAAATCTAACAATTCCGACCGGTTAAATTGCTTCTCAAAAGGATCAACACAACGCTCCAAATGTTTTGACAAATTGTAGATAGGTTGTCCACTCTCGTCACCTATAGTTTCACTAACACCAGGTCTCCTGCTGCCCGTTTCCCGTAGCAGACGGAATAACTTCCGATGGTTACGAAGGGCAGCGGTCACTTCCATCTCTGACTCAAGAACAGACCACCAGGATTCGTGATCCCTCTTTAAGCTAGCACGAAGTTTGCCCGGAGGTTTAGGCGAGTCTCATTGTGTTCGTTTCCAGCCAAAATATGTCGGCGAGCATGGATAAGTTCCAGAGACTGCGAAGAGACCCATTGTCCATGTTGGCTATTAGACTTACCACATGAGAATGTGCATGCTGCTAGTAAGGTCTGGTGAACATGAGACCCGTGACCTTCAATTGTATCCAGTGAACGCTGACTCAACCCACATGTCAGCGTACTTTGATACGCGTTCCGAACAGCTGGCTTCGCCAATTGGTTAGTGTCAAGGTGCTCAGCATCGTCGTGAGCATCCGCCAAAAGGCATCCGCAGGTAAGCGCATACAAGAGCGTCGTCGGTGTCCACACATGTGCTCCAAATAGAGCGACAGTTTTGGACGCAGTCTCTAGCGAAAACTGATCGCAATGTGATCGATTTGTGTCCAAGGCTAGTGGGCGTCAAGTCAACCTCCGGCGGGTAGTGTCGGAAATTAGTGCTCGCAAAAAATAAGCGAACATCCTCACGCAAATGAAGTAACCGCTCACCGTTATCATTACGGAATCCTACACCATGTTGGTCGTCCAGATGCAGTTCATCAGTAGATAACTCCAACTTAGGCGTTCAAATCCCCAGCAAGCACTACAGTGTCAGTGCTTCTTCTGTGGTGAAGGAGCTCGTTCAGTTGACGATAGTTGTCTTTTACCGAAACATCGTTAGAGTTTGCGGGTGCGTAGGCAGCGATGATGAAGAGACCTATTAGTCCCGCGCGACTTCGAAGCTCTGAAAGAGCCAGCCAATCGGATCGCACACATCCGGCTACTGATGGGGATCCAATCAACCGGAGCGGTTTCAGACCGGGGAATCGGTAATACCAACACCGCCTTTGCCGGTGCTCGAAGCTGCATCGTCACCGCAATGAGAAAGCACTGCTAGTGTCACCTGAAGGGGATCGCAAAGTAAGCACAGCTCAAGTTTTGCAAGCGGGTCTCTGATAAGTAGCAGATATCGATCGAGAGGGTCTCTAACGTTCGGGCAAATGCTGCTTGTTGACCGATCTGTAACAATGTGCCTACGTCGAGGCATGCCAATCTGAAGGAGGATGGAGGGCTCCAAATTGAGGCCAATGAAGTGGGGTGGACCGCTTGCTTGGACATAGGCTTGTTGATAGGGCAGGAGTGACGCACCGGGTTTGCATGTGAGTTGGAACTAGAAGCTAACCGCCAATCAAAGCATGGTGGAGCACAGTCAAGAATTGGGGGGGGGGGTTGAAAACGAGCGTCAGAAAAAAGGATAATGGTGAAAAATCGTGAGGGGGATGAGAAAACAGGAAGGCTGAAGCAACAGCATCCAAACCCCTGTCCACACTGTCCGATGCAGCAGATAGGGCGCCGTTTATTATCCTCTGCGTCGGCCAGAGCATAAAGAAATTGTTTACGGAAAGGTTAAAGTATTGCGTGGAGAGGATACTGTCAGAATGCCCAAGCCTAGACAGGATAACGATTAGGGTTCTCAACCAGAGCTTTTGGTTCAAAAAGCTGACCGCAAGGCAGCAGGGTCTTGTCACTGGGCTACAGAGTGTGCGTTATGTAGTGTAAGGGTTGGTCGGTGGCCGAGTGGTCTGCGTGCCTGGCTTGCAAGCATAAGGTCACCGGTTCGAATATGCGTAGGAGTGGGCGTCCGCGCGGTATACCCAGCCCGCGCGCGACTGGTGGTGGTCGCGCGGCAGCGAAGCGCCGTTATTATTATTATTATTATTATTATTATTATTATTATTATTATTATTATTATTATTATTATAGAGTAGGGATCCGCTCTTATTCCAACCCCCAACCTTGAGACTGAGTTTGTTTGGCCTCTAACCACTGACCAACCTGGTATGAATGGATCCGGAGGCGCAAAAGGTACCCAGCATAGCTCAGTGGATGCTGAGGCACGCAAACTACCGCACTATGGTAAGGTCCAGCGAAGTGTAGTCATGGTCATCAGATTCAGAATCAGGGAGTCGAAGATTCGTCGCGCTGTTATCTTGTATGCATGTTACAGAGGCAGCACACATCAATACCAAGAGAGTGAAGAATAAGCCAGTGCTGACTGCCGGCCGATCTGACCTAGAGTGCAGACGTTAAAGGAAGCAATGTGGAATGAAACCCTAGGTTTGATGGAAGATTTGCGTGTACCGATTGTAGCAGCTGCTAGGTCAGTGGCAGTTTTTTGCTAAATAGACGGAGAAAAGAGAAAGAGAAGATAAAAACAAGAAGAGGGAGTATTGTCGACGTGGTCGAGAGGGCAGATGATACTCACCGGTAGCGCATTCCAAGAGAGAGGTTTTGTTCGAGGTGTCCTGCACCTAGCCTTTGACTCAACAGTCTGACCCACAAGGCAGTGGAGTACACGAGGTTCTCTTGGGGGACTCCACCTGGAGCCTTTGGCTCAATAGCCTGATACACAACGCAGTGGAAGATTTAGAGGTTCGCTACAGGGATCCCCCGCAGCTTTTGGTTCAATAGCTTGACCCCTAAGGCAGTGAGGGGTAAGTTCAGCTCGGGAGTGTGGTTGCAGAGACCCATTGGCATCTGCTTGAGGCCTGTCACACACAGCATTTGAAGATTTAGAACAATGCACATATGTTTTACGGCCGTACTACCTTACGCAACTGCGACAAAAAGCAGCCGAAAATGGGAATTGGCGGATTTGTACTGATTTCACCAGGGGCTGCCTGGCTTGAGATGGGTGGTAGCAAACCATTGAGCACCCGAAGGTGCCCTACTGTCAGAGACAATGAGTGGCGGTCGTGCTCTACGCCAATCGAGTTGTGAGCTTATAACCTGTAGATCTGTTGTTTCCCATGGCTAGGTTTTAAAGGAAGAGGGTCATCGACCTCTCCATAACTTCCGAAGAGGACTGGTTTGTGAGACTGAGTTAGTCTGACCCCTAAGCATTGACCTGTCTGGCATGAGTGGCTCTGAAGACACTTGGAAAGCGCCACCCAGTACAGCTCAATCAGGTATAGAGATACGCAAACCATCGCACCACGTTAAGGCCGTCTCATTGCAATGGAAGTACGGCGAGCACTCTCGGTTGGAAACAGTTGCCGAGATGGCGAGCAGCCGGCCTCAAGTTCGTTTGTTTTGTTTCTTTGTCGCTCCCACCCCGCACAGACTTCCCTATGATCACGACCTTAGCCTCGAGACATGCTATAAAACAATCCACAATATTATTTTTTGTCGCGTTTCATATTTTTATCATCTAATTAAGGTGTGTTGCGACAAATCAGTTGAGGCGTTTCTCATGTCTAGCCGACATTCAGGTTAACGGTGATAATGATTACAACATTGTTGGTTTGGGTAGTAATCTGCAAGCTGTCTTCAGGACACTGGTCGGTGGCTAACGAATTTTGTGCTTGCCTTGTAATCGGGTCACGGATTCGAATCCGCGGCAGTGCTAGCGACGTCGCGGTATACCAAACCCACGCATGACTGGTGGTGGTCAAGTGGCTGTAAAGCGTCGGTACGATATTCCGGCGTACCGCTGATGCCTTTATCACTTAAGATCACATGCATTTACTTAGAGGTGCCAGTAGATGAAAAGCATATTCCCGATGCATTGGGTCTCTTGTCATTGTAAAATCTGAGGGTGGACGCAGTGTGCTAACGAATGCTATTCTAATCAGAAAAGGTGTGTCAGAGAAAGGAATATTAGTTGTAATGCTGGTAAACAAAAAAGTGTTTTAGTGTTCACTAAGTTGCGGCTTTTGCGAAAACATATAGCTGGGTTACTCGTGATAATTACCGAAAACAAGAAATAACAATGTATAAAATAGCATGCTTTTTGGCATAAAGGTGTACTTACGTCCAGTTAAGAGTTGGCCGGGGTCCTGTGATGCAACAAAAGGCGCAGACTGCTTAAACCGGTGATAAGATCGCCAGTCCATTGCACTGTGCGGCTCATCGGTCCAGTTAACGAATCGATCTACTTCACATTCTTCCGCCTTGCATCGAAATGCAGCTGCAGTAAAGTAAGTAAGGTAAAAAATAGCATACTTCTACCCATCGCAATTGAATACGAGAGGTTTCTAGGATCCTTATTGAGCTTAATACGAATGGTGGGGGGAGATTCACAGAGATCAGTTTGAGCCGGGTGATCTAGCTCGCGTTTTGCTACGTGTTTCACATGAGGTTTCCGGCGCCCAGTGTTCGAATAAGCTGATCCACTGTTGACATCGTCCATTTGATTGGATGTGAGATTAGTTAAGTCGAAATCTTCTCGAACATCCTCCTCATGTCCAATAATTTCTTCCCTGACGCCCAAAAGATCGTTGGGGTCCATGAGAAAGAGGTCGCCATAGGGATCACGACAGATAAGACTAGGGCAGGCATTTTCCCCACCGGTCTCCGACAAATCATTGGAAATAGGCTCCGATGAGCAATCGAAAGATTCAGGCTTGAGGCCAGATGCGTCGTACTCGTAGAATTCCTGTTTGCTTTCAGTATCTATTAAAAGTACTTCAGACATGAGGGAGCAGCATGGAAAACATTTAACTTAAGTGTTGCAAAGAAAGAGAAGCTCCCAAGGGACAGTCCGTCTCACGAGACATTTGTCTCGTGAGAGCAACGTTATGGAAATTGGTTAAGTTGCACGGTACACCGTCACGTTATTGTTCCACAACTCTTCTCTTTTGAAGGACAAAACTACAAGTTTCAGTAAAACCTTTGTCAATTTGAGAACAAGTAAACACGTTTATAAGGTGGTCTACAGCTTTTGGTACCATTAATTTTCGCAAGGTACCGTCAGGCCAGGTCAGCTTCTAATCATTGGATCATTGGATGATAGATAGCAGAAGGAAGTTCCTTTGACAGCTCCGACGCTTCCCAATCGTTGCGAAGATAGCCTGGGTCATTGCGGAACAAGGTCCCACAGAGATCCACTGAAGCTGCATTGGAAACAGCTGGATCCCCGTAAAGTAAAATGTGATTCTAATAAGTGCTTGAAACGTTCGTCGGCCTCGGCAAAGTCGATGGCTCCGGAAGGTGATTCCAGTCATTCACAACGCGAGTGGACAAAGCCAGGTTGGGTCGCCCTTAATAGCTCTTAGGTTTGAACAGTTTCAAACTGGGGCCCCTTGTTGAACCTTCTGTGTTGAGATGAAAGAATTTCTGTAATTCCGTCCCCAAATCTCCTTTAAGTATACGTCGGGTGAAGATCAAGTCTCCGCGACGACGACGACGGTAATCCAGGGAAAAGAGGTGCAGTTGTTTGAGTCGGAGAGAATAGGACAGGTACCGCAGCTCAGGAACAGTTTTGGATCCACGCCGTTCAACCTTTTTAATCATATCACATTCAAATTTCTTAAGAGGGTAGGCAGCAAGTAGCCCGTATTCGATAAGCGGGCGTACTTGTGAAGCAAACAGCAGTCGAAAGATCCCCGGGGTCAGGCGAGAGAAGGTTCTACGTATAGAGTGAAACATCCTGTAGGCCATAGCGATCTTTTCTTGGTATCTTCATTAGATTTGAAGTCAAGTGAAAGTATCACTCCCAAATCCCTCTCCTGAGTGGCGTTTCTGAGCAAAGTACCACCACTATGGTAGATTCCAAATGGGTCAGACGCACCAACTGGAAGAACCGAACACTTCTCAAGATTCATTGGCAACTGCCACTTGATTGACCAATCGTGTAGCAAGTCGAGTGTTGCTTGTAATCTGTCAGCATCTTCCATACTGGATACCTCCATCCACAGCTTCAGGTCGTTGGCGTAGGTTAGGCAATCCGCCTGGAGTGTGGACGGGAAGTCCTTGATGGGGAGGTTGAAAAGCACGGGGCCGAGGACAGAACCCTGAGTGACTCCACTAGTCCTGAGAACAGGGGCGGTAAATTAGCGGTTCGATGTTGCTCCTCCCAACCCTGACACCCCATGACCGATTTCGTCCTCCTTTGGACTCATCAGATGGAGATAGCCTGAGCTGGGGTGGACCTCGAGGCCTAGTGTTCAAAGGTTGACGCCCTGACCACCATGGCTCCTAGGTCCGCGGGCAACGTTTGGGGCGGTAAATGTTTCGTTTACTTGCACCTGCATCCTGCGGGCGCGCGGGGAATCAGAGATTCAAGATAAAAGATTCCCGGCGATACCGATTCCTCGGAGTTTAAGCAAACGTCGTTCGTGCGGGACCTTGTCGAAAACTTTGCTGAAATCCCCAAACTTAACATCCAAGAGCTTACCGGAATCTAGCGATTTCGCCCATTTCTCCTTAGCAACTAATAAGTTCGAGGTACATGAGCGTGCCTTTCGAAAACCATGCTGTACACAAGAGAAGAGCTTCAGTTCCCCGATGTAGAGATGAAGATACTGCTTCAAGCTCCGCTCCATAACTTTACACTATCTCGACGGTAAGCAGATAGGACGATAGTTGGCTGGGCCTTGCCTATTCCCTCCTTTGTATATGGGTTTGACAATGCCCACTTTCCAACCGTGGGGAAACGCATCGCTTCAAAGGAACGACGGAAAACGTGAGGTAGGAGGAGCGATGTACTGCGCCGCCGTTCTAAAGTACAGGGGGTGCTAGCCATCCTGGCCGGGTGAATAATACGGATCTAAATCAAAAAGAATCTTAAATACAGAACTAGTGTTAATGTCTATTTGCTCCAACAGATAAGGAAAACTGTATAGTTTTGTCGTAGTCGGTAGTTTCTTTCGCGAATACAGTGGCCTTCTGCTGGGTCATCAGACTGGCTTTATCAGCTTCTTCGTAAAGTAAATTTCGTTGTTCAAAGAAACACTGGGTAAGGATGCCACTGCTAGCCATGGTGCTTCTTTTCAGATAAGAGAAAAGCATTTTGGGTGTCGTTCTGGAGGGTACTGCTGATGATAGTTCAGATTGCTGAGGTTTCTGCCGCTTTAAGGTGACACAAACATTCCTGGTAGTCTTGTAGGAAGGGTAATCTGACTCTGTTTAAGATTTCCTAAAACGGTCTCACAATTTCAGTCTTCTGTTCATCAGAGATCTCATTTCACTATCACTCTAAGGCGGACCCCTCTTGAAGGACTTTCTAAGGGAGAAAGAAACGACCTGCTCAATTAGAGAAGTCATTTTGGAGAGCACGATTTTCCACGCACCATCTAGAGGAATTGGATCAGGAATACTTCAATCCATAGCGCTTGCGACTGCTCTCAGACGGAGTGGATCCGCTAGCCAAAACTTCCGACGACAACCACCTTGGCTATGGATGGTGAGACGGCGTGTTCATTGGAATGAAACGACACAATGATCACTTTTGCCAATGGGTTGAAGAACCGTTATGTTCGTGACATCTGACTGTGCTGGGGTAAGCACTAGCTCCAGGATGTTTGGCGTTTGGTCGGCAACAATGCGGGTTGGCATGGTGACGTGCTGAAACGAATTACAATCGATAACAGTCTAAAGTAAGGAAGCATCAAAAGAATCAAGTGGACGACCGCAAAGAAGTAAGTTCCAATCGATATCAGGGGCATTAAATTCCCCCCGATAAGACTGTTCTTTCCCGCGCCGTGTTTCCTGATCGAATCGAGCAATTGAACTCCGGATCCCGAAGGTGCTCTGTAGACAACACCAATAGTGAAGGATCTGCATCCATCATGGATACGGCACCGAAGGGCATCAACGTCAACATCGTCGCCACTAGCAGCTGTAACCAAATGGAACTTGAGTTCGGCCTTTCAATAAAGTATGACGCCGCCACCAGGCCTACCTTCAAGGCGGTCAGCCCGACAAAGACTGTATCCGGAGATAGAAACCTCTGAAACTGTGATGTCCGCAAAAAGCCAAGTTTCGGTGAAGGCCATCAAGTCTGGGTGAGTAGCTGACGCAAGCATCTGTACCTCATCAAGTTTATTTCACAGACTGCGTACATTGGCGAAAATTACACGTAGTCCGTTCTCATGCCCTACTGTCCTGGGTTGAGAAGCATTGGCCTCCAACCGGTTATCGGGGTTCACCGGATTACGCGAAAATCCACAATTTGGAGGTTTGTCTCGCAATTCGCTCGGCTAGACCGGAGCTCATCAACGGCTGTTTTCATTTTAGTACGATCTTCCAGAGAAAAATCTCTCAGGACGTGAAAAGACTTACCTTTCAAACGTGGGGTTCGCAGGAGAATGTGTCGGTATTCTTCTTCGATTTGGCATACGATCTTGAGGGGGCGTACCTTAGATGAATGCTCTTACTTCCTTCTCAGGAGGCAGTGATAATGTTTATGCCCAATTCACCATCATCGAATGAAATTGAAATCATTCGCTCAAGGAAGTCTAGGTTATCCAGCATACTTTCTGCAGAGGTGTCCTTGGTGGATTCTGGGGCGTTCACAATGATAAGACATCTTCCACGAGACGGTGAGACATCTTTCACGAGAGGAAGGACGAGCATTCTGTTGCTTGTACCGGCAATCGAACATGGGCCTCTAGTACCACGACATCTGGATTTCTTCCTGTGCTTCTTTCAGGTTGAAGTGGTTTCAAGAGTTCCAGAGGATTCTTGCTTAGCTGAGTTTAACATAACGGAGACAGGTCTTCGAGCTACTGCAAGGCGTTTATCCATCTAAAGCTTTCGGTCCTGCTTTAATTCATCCGAAGCTGTTGCATGAAATGACCACTGAGCTAAGTAAATAAATATTTATTCTCGGCTATGCGAGGCATGCCCGCGAGGGCCTGATCAAATAATTGCAATTATACAGACATGCCATGGCAATTGTAACGGTGACAATCGGAAGTTGTTCATACGTTCCTATTTGAAACTGTACAAATAAGACAGAAATAAAAATGAAGAAAGCCCATTGCCATGAGTTTGGGCACGTTCGTGTGGGTACGTCCATTCTGCCATAAAGTGCAGTAACAATGCAGGCATAAATAGATCCAGAACTAGGACTGAGCAATTATAAAAGGGCTGGTGAAGAACACGCTCAATCGCGATTACACGGTATGCTGGGTTCATGTGAGTGTAGCGCAAAGAACAAAGGTAAATGCGCAGAAAATGAAGTGGCGACGAAATATGCAGCTAAGAAAGTATCGGGGTGTATCCATCATGGTAGTATATAGTCATGGTCAGCTTGTCAGTGTGAGCATATTGGCAGTGGCTTTATTCAGTGGCGAGTCACCTCCGCCACGTCGCAGTGTTGTTAAACGGACATTTGTGGCTTTTTATAGGGAGAATGCTTGCCATGCGAAAACCCACCACGTCCTGGAACACTGTCATCGACGCATTCGAATGACAAGCTGCAACTGGCAATGCTTCTTACTGACCGATTATTGGTTATGTTAGTCGCAGTCAGGACACACGCATTCTTTTCTCTCGCTGATGCAATATGGGGCGGGACTGTATCATCCATGGGCCCTGTCACTTCCTGAAGAAACGGCACAGCTTTTACGGTACGTAATCTATAAATCGAACATTTGTCATCGGTAGAACCGTGTAATGTCTCTGATTGGTATCCAGTAATATGTTGGTGAACCAAATATTGGAGAATGGCCAAACGCAACCGTTCAGGCCCAAGAAAGCTGCGAGTTGTCCTGAATAATGAACCGGAAATCCTCCCAGAGGAAGTTCACTGGATTGGGGACATTGGTATCCACGAACATATGGACGGTAATAGTA